ATGTATAATATCTTATATTTATAATATATGCTTCTATATATATATATATATATATATATCTAAATAGGCTGGTTTTCCTTGCACACATGTGGATAATATGCAAAAAATTGAGATAGACACAGAAGAAAATGTTGGTAATGAAAATGATCAACTTTTGGAAAATGAAATACAAAATAAAAGTGAAAAACATTTAGACCCAAGAGCAGGTAAAGTGGATGTGGAACTACCACAAATACCTTTTAATGCTGCAAAAATTGTTGAAATGCTGTCAGTATATCATTTTCATCCATCATCAAAGGCAAAATCACGAAGACACCTTTCAAGACTTCTTGAAGAGTATGTATATTGTGCTATTTTATCTTAATAATCTATCAAACTTTAATTTTTTTACATGTACTCTGAATTATACTTCTATTGTACAAAAATTACACTTTCAGATTTATGGAATTATCAGAGGGAAGAATGCCTTTTGGAATAAAAAAAGTTAGAAGATCAAATTTAGAGAAACAAGATTCGAGAAAAGAATCGAGAAAGGCTACATTACACCTCATTCAATTTGAGAAAAAATTGTTTTCTGACAATATTAATAAAAAACAAAAACGGAAAAGAAATGGAGAGGCCGTTGCTAGCGATATATCTTCTTGTGATAGCCTAAAAAATGAAGATCATTTAGAGTTGAATTCTATTATAGATATTATTGATTTAGAAAGTGAATCAATTGATTCAACTGTGAATATGATGTCCAATTTGCAAGATACAGATACAGATGCAGATATAGTGCCACTTAAGAAACGAAAGCGTAATTTAACATGTGATAAATTTGATAAAAATGTAATTATCGAAGACAAGGAGAAGCTAAAAACAAAACCTCATAAAAAATTTAATAAAACTAAGAAAATTAAATTGAGCCAGATAAATGATACATTCATGACACATAATAATGTAAAATGTAAACCAAAGAAAATGGTATTTCATGAGAAGCATACGTTCAGTAAAGATCAATACACTGTTATCTCACCAGCTTCAAAGGAAAGAAAATTACTTAAAGAAGCTACGAAACAAAAAAAATCTTTAGTCTTAAAAGAGACGTTAAAAAAAAATGTTTTACATAATGATCAAGGGATGCTGTTCAAAGATGTAAGTACCAATATTCTGATTTTATTTTATAATGGATATTTTTATAGAAATGCATTATGGAAATAATATATAAAACTATTTATTGCTTCATTACAGGAATTATCAACTCAGACAAAAAAACAAACTAATTTAAATAATTCTTTGGAAAAGAAAAAAGTAATCTTTAGTCTCTTTCGAAATACTGCGCAACATACATCGGAATATCTTCAGCAAGTTCGTAAAAGCCCAGCTATCCCCTTTGATGCAAACAAAAAACCGTTAACTAGTGTACTGAAGACAAGTCCTATATCGAGTCCACTCAATCCATTCTACAGAAACAAAATATGAGTTCAGAGAATTCTGATTTTTTAGAAAGTCCCCAACTTGTGTTGAAACCATTGATTTTGAAATTAATTGAATTGTTTAATGATGTAAAATAATAATAACATTCAAAAAATAATACAAGAATTATATTCAAAAAGATTTATTGGTTAGTATTTCTAGTGATATGATTGCAATATTTAGTTAATCGTATCTTTAATATATTGACTACGTTTACACGTCACCCCTAAAGGTGCATTTTCATGAGCCGCTAAAACCGATCGTTTGAGCGACAAAAAAGATCACGTGACGACTTTTGTCGCTGAACTCTACAGCGGTAACTTTTGTACACGAAAAAATATAGAAGCGGCAAAGTTAGAAGTTGAGAGACAGACTTCGCGTTTTTTGTCTTTTATTAACATTTGTAACAGGCCGGTTTCGCAAGGTCGGATTATGCTCGGTCGGGATCAGGGCTCGTGAAAGAGTGAGACACAACGATAGACGCGGGATGTAATTTAGTCTGTTTATTTGCCTCCTTCGGCAGTGGTTAATGTACAGAGATGTTGACCAGAGTTTATATCCCGCGAAGCGGGCGCGCAGCGGTTGACAAGGCGCGAGTAAAGGTCGATTCAGACTATACGGCACGGATCGTAACATACCGGCAACGGCACGCACCGGCACCGGCACGACAAATTAAGGTCGATTCAGACTATACGGCATGGATAGTAACATACCGGCAACGGCACGCACCGGCACCGGCACAACAAATTAAGGTCGATTCAGACTATACGGCATGAATCATCAATTTGCTTCAAACTTTTTGACAAACCAAAACAAGACAAATGTTTGCTACAAAATTGTTGTCAAAATTAAAGCACACCCTGTCGCAAAGCTTTGGCAAAACGTGATTTTAACATTCTTGACTATCTGGGACTAGTGTAGTTTTGTTAATATTACAGTATTATATGATTAATATTGTTACTTATTATTTTTAATTATTTTGTTTAGATCTGTATGTGATCGTTTTGGTGTTGGTAATGCAACTGCTTGGAGAGCAATAAAGAGAGTTGTACATGCTCTCATTAATCTTCGAAAGCAATATATTAAATGGCCAACAGAAGAAGAAGTAATGGAATCTGCTAGAATTTTTGAAGGAAAAGAAGGATTTCCAGTAGTAATTAGCGCGATAGATGGGACACACATAAAAATAGAAGCTCCAAAAGAAAATCAGGAAAGTTATATTGTAACAAACCGCTTTCGCGAGGCGGTGACGGATAACTCGGTCGGGATCCGGGGCTCGTGAAAGGGTATCGAGAGACGAACGAAAGTGATGTTAGGTA